AATGCGCTTTTGACGTCCATTTGATAGACCTTGAAGTCCTTATGAGCAGCAAAGGCTAGAAACAGCCTTATAGCTTCAAGTCTAGCAACTGGAGCGAAGGTTTCATCAAAATCTATACCTTCTTCTTGACAGTATCCTTTTGCAACTAACCGGGCCTTGTTTCTGACAACAACGCCGTTTTCATCCATCTTGTTCCGGAAGACCCACTTTGTCCCAATGACATGTTGATGAGTAGGTCTGGGAACAAGTTTCCAGACGTCATTTCTGGAAAATTGGTTGAGTTCTTCTTGCATTGCATTGATCCAGTCAGAATAAGCTAGAGCTTCTTCAATATTCTTTGGTTCTACTTGTGAGATGAAACAAGCAAGCATAGCTTCTAGATTCTGTTGGGCACTCCTTGTGCGAACACCAGATTGAATATCTCCGATGATCTGTTGAGGAGGATGATCCCTTAACCAACGAAGATTGTGTTGATTGGGATTGACTGGTTGACTTAGTTCAGCTTCTCGTTGAAGAACAGAGGTTGTTGGTGTTTCCGGATGGATTGGCACTGCGTCGCCATTTCCGGAATTGTCGCCGTTTGAGAGATCCGGAATGTTGGAAGGCTGGCCAAAATTTTCGGAAGGCTCAGCACTGTCTGAATCCGGATTTCTCTGTGAAGTCTTCAGTGGTAGACTTCTGAATGGAATGAACTCCGTGGGCTTCATTCTATCTCCTTCATTGACTTCTTCATCCTTGTCTGATAGATCCAGAACCTCATGATCATGCTTTGATGGCTTGTCAACCACATGTTTTTCATCAAAAATGACATGTAAGGAAGCTTCTGCTAGCATGGTTCTCACTGCTTCCTTCAGGGTTCTGTTTCTTCTTTCAGCTACACCATTCTGTTGAGGTGTCCTTGCTGCGGATGTCTGATGAAGAATTCCGTTTTCTTCACAGTAGTGAATGATGATTTCATTCAGGAATTCTGTGCCTTTGTCAGATCTGATCTTCTGAATGGTCTGACTTGCTTGGTTTTGAATCAGCTTCATGCAGTTGGTGAGTTTCCCTTGAGTCTCCTTCT